TTTTTCCCTCCCCTTTTCGGGGGGGTTCCCGGTTTGTCCCCTCCGGGGTTTTTGCTGGGGTCGTGGGGGTTTTTTTGTCGGTGGCGGGGCGGGGGCTTTTGCCCGGCTTCCCCCCCCTTCTTGTGGTGGTGTTGGGCTCCCGCGGGTTGGCCTCCCTTGGGGTGGGGTTGCGGTGGGGGGGGGCCCCCCCTTTTTCCCGGGGGGGGCGGGGGGGGGGCGGGCGGTGTTTCCGCGTTTTCGGTTTCGGGGCCAGGCGGACGTGGGTGGGGGGGGGGGCGATGACAGCGGTGGAGCCCCCCTGGGAACCGGCGGTAGAGGGGCGGGAGGCGTTTCGTTTGCGCTGGACATGGACCAGTCGCCGTGAGGCGGCGAGAATCGGAAGGAGTCAAGAGCTCCCTCGGTGTGTTCGGTATTTGTACCCACTATCCTAGCTGCTTCCACAGCGCCAATCTTAGCGTATGGTACGTACATGGAGAAGCTTCACGGGTTTTCGGGGTGCCTCCGGCGCGGCTGTTAGCGACGTTTTAATGGCCCTGTTTTTGTTGTTCTCCTCGGTGCCGCAGCATAGGTAGTGGAGCCACGGTGTAGCCTATCGTGGAACTCCCCGCAGTTAAATGGTAATTTTCGCGGTTTCGGCCAACCCTCCTTGTAAAGAAGTACAGCGCCTTCCTGATTGCCGAAGACGTTTGTAGGTTCGGTGTGTCCTTAAGCAGCCACCATCCCGCCAGCACCCGGGGCTAAGCAAGACTTTCGCGAAGAATTTCGCCGTCTTCGGCCAGAGTGGATAAACGGTGCGCTTGGAACGTTTTCGCTGGATCTTTTTGTGTGAGATTGTGTGGGTCGCAGCCAACCATATCGCCCACACCCGGAACCAAGCAATGACTTCGGTACTTTGCTGAAAACGGACGCAGAAACGACTCTCCCAGAGCCGAGAAACCGTGTGCTTGGGACGTTTTCGCTGGATCTTTTTTTTTTCGAGGTTCGTTGTGTGGGGGCGACAACCGGACCTCGAATCTCGCAGAAACAGGAACGGCATTATCCTAGAGCGGGCCGCGCTTTGGCGTCGGAGTGCCTGATCGCCATACGGCACGGGAGGCTGATGGGTGTGAGGGCGGGATTATGCCGAGCCACCCTCAAGCGGTCGCTGGCTGGAGTAACGTTTCGGGTTGTGGAGACGGCAATTTTGGGGTGATGGTGAGGGACTTCCAATCGTCGCGTCGCGTGATTCCTTCCGGCTATTTCCGGCTTTGAACCGGAAATTTGATGTGGTGGTGACGGAGTTCCATCCTCTTCGTGGCGTGATTGCGGTTATTTCCGGTTGTGAACCGACAATTTGAGGTGGTGGTGACGGAGTTTCAAGCTGCGTGGTGTGATTGCGAATATAAAGCTTGTTTGGTGAAGTAGAGGGCGGGGGGGCGGGGGCGGGGGCGGGGAAGAAGACGATAGCCGGGTGATACGGAACTCACTAGAAAACCTCTGCGCGCTGTGATCCGTCTTAGGCGGTAGCGACAACTTCCCATGTTGCCAGTCCTTTCTTGGAGTTTACAAGTATAACTTTGGAGGACGATTCCTCCCGCGAGAACGTTGGCAACCCCAAGCGAGGTATATCCCTGCCCTCCTTTGGACGTTTCGGAGCGCGACTGGCTTGTGCAAGGCCGTCCTCTCCCTGTGCCATGTTCACCTTTGTTTCTTAAGACGTGCTTGTGCGTGAAGTCGTGCACAGCTTTAAGGTCGTCCTCTCCCTGTGGCTTGTTCCCATGTTTTATTGAAGGCGTGTTTGTGCGTGGTAAAAGCTCCTGCAGCCACACATCCTTGTCGTGTGTTTTTCTTCTATAATAGCTTGTTGCGTTTGGTGTGGCTGGTCCTGATTCCGGCGCCGCAGTGTTGGCACCGAGAGTGAGAGACACGCAGAGAGAGAGAGAGAGAGAGAGAGAGAGAGATTTTGACATGTTTCTCGTGAGCACGGGTTAATGTTCCTCATAATATTTGTTGCATCGTTGGGGATCTATCTGTGGAGGTGTTATTACAACCCACAGGTAGGTGTGGTGTTGTCCCGATGGTTTCTTGTCTTGTGTGAGTGCGGTTTGTCCGTCCCTTGTTGTCGGTTGTAAGTGGCAGTGGCGTTCGCGTGAATAAACACGACTCGGAGGTTGCGCGTGTTTTTTATGTAAAAAGTTGTTCCAAGTAGTTGACGGCGCTAACGAGCGAACTTCCCCAGAAATGTTGACAGTGCGTTAGTCTCGGTGCGCCGCAGAATATATCCGCGCGCAAGGGGATTTACCCTTCCTT